ATAAAAAAATAAAGTTCTAAAAATCGACAGTTTCGAAAACTTTCTATCAGGAGGCATAGGTTAGTAAATTACTGGATAGGATTGAACGCAATCGTCTAAAAATTGACAGTTTTGACAAAATTGTATCAGGAAAGCAAAAAAAGCAGAAGATTAGCCGATAAGTGGACTGGATTGTACGAAATCGTCTAAAAATAAATCAACAGCATTGAAACATTTCTATCATGAGAATAGAAGAGGCAGAGAGGGTACTACATACCATATAATTTATGTCCCACCCCATGATTTAAATACTGCATCAATTACTAACTAGTTTTTTTTACAGATAATGTCCTTTTCTAGACTGACTAGAACTAGAGAGGATAGCGATTCCTGAGCATCCATAGGCTCGGTGGCCAGACACTCAACCAGCTGAGAGAAAAGCAAAATTTATTTTGAAAAATCGGCAGCTAATCGACAGGAACCACAACGCAGGAGAGAGCCAACAATCAAGGATCAAGGTCGCAGGTTGACATAAATACGGGGATAGGTTGTAAGATAGCAAGGACGAAAAGGGAGAAAGGCTTACGTTCTCCCTGCAGCAGAGGCCTCTCGGATGTCCCATCTGATATTGATCTTACAGTCATTCACGCAGCAAGGGATTAAGTGGTAAAGAAAACTGACTTTTAGAAACCACAGCCAAAGATTTCACTTACCGAGTTCAACGAACATATTTATTCTTGAAGCTATATTCTCTCGCGCCTCAGGAGGTAGAGCCTCAAGAAAATCACAAACTTGAGAATATAGAAACAAGAAATCTTTGTATGGTATGTTATTACCGAATATCACAAGAATACGATAGAAAAACAGTCCCCAATAAGACCCCTAGGTCTCCCTGGAAATGTATAGAGTACAATAAACATCACTGTCTTTACTGTTTCTTTATAGCCAATTCTGCCAACAAAATACAGTGCTAAAATTTTGTTGATAAGTTTAAGTCTATGATGCATTTTCGTAATAGAATGTGATTAGTCTTTTCTAATAAACAAACTTCCAAAGCATATACAATTTTCTTACTGTATGAGATGAAATTAATGGAACAGCATCGACTAATAAAATCTAATGAAACAGAATAAAGACACCTGCAGAAAAGAATAAAAAAGGAGATCAAAAGGGCCAAAGAAAAATGAATGAGATAAAGGTGCAACGAAATGGAGGATGTAATATCTAAAGACGACTTATTTAATGTGCACAAAAAAACTAAAAGAAATGATTTACATATTTAAAACACGAGTTCTTTCTGTGCTCGTTGACTATAATAACAAAATTATTGTAAATGAGCACGGAATAAGAAAAGAATGGCAGCTGTATATCAGAGTTGTTTGAAGATGACAGGAATAATATTGCCGAATTCTACCAAAACTGTACTGACGGCCCAGAAAGTATGAAATGCGAGGTAGAACACGCTATAAACACCAACTGACTTGCTGAAACTAATAGAAAATGATAATATGAAAGTTGTAATAAGACTTTTTAATTCAATATATAACACCAGAGTGATTCCGACAGATTGGCTCAAATCCATCTTTGTCACGATACCTAAAAAACACAATGAGAGAAAATGCTCAGAATATCGATTAATTAACCTAATGAGCTACACTCTTAAAATTTTCCTAAGAATACTTCACAACAGAATTAAACGCAAATGTGAAGAAGATCTTGCACCCAATTTGGTTTTAGCGATGCTATGGTTACCAGGGAGGCATTTTTGGCGCTTAACATTCTGTTACAAAAATACCGTCACCAAATAAAAGATATATTTACATGTTTCGTGTACTTCGAAAAGGCATTCGATAAAGTACAGCATAAAATTAATGCATCATCATCATCATATAACGGGGGTCCTACGGCGATTGCCGCTTCCCGCATTTCAGCCTCCATCTTTTCCTATCTCCCCAATCTCCCTCTTCTAAGCCTCTAGATTGCATTGTTTTTGTAATTTCTCTTCTCCAGGAATTTGGTAATCTTCCCCTTTTCCTTCTTTCTGGCGGAACATACATTAAGGCTTTCTTTGGCCACCGCTCCTCCTCCATTCTCATCACGTGACCATACCATTGTAATTGCCTTCCTTGTATTCTATCTGAAAGAGTATCTCTAATTCCTGTACGGTTTCGTATTTCCTCATTCCTGATTCTTTCCATTCTCGATACTCGACATGACCTTCTAAGATAATCCATTTCCACAACGTCTACTTTATCTCGTTCCTTCTTTGTCATCGTCCAACATTCGGCACCATATGTGGTAATTGGTTCTACAATTGCTCTGTATACGCGAAGTTTGGTATGCATCTTTATTTTATTAGCATATGCATAAAATTAATGCAATTACTGAAAAATATCGGAATAGATGACAAGGATATTCGTGTCATTAAAAATTTGTACTGGAATCAAACTGCTATCGTAAAAATTGGAAACACCGATGAAATCTATATACAACGAAGAGTCAGACAATTATTTAAAGAGGCACTTGAGAGACAACCATATGGAATAAAAATCAACGGGGAACTACTTAATGTGATTAAATACACCCACGATACAGAGTAATTCTATCAGATAATATTGAAGGTCTTCAAATTCTACTTGATCGTATTCACGAGGTACATAGGAGAGGAAATAGGCATTAAAATAATATCAAACAAAACCAAATTTTAGTGTTTAGTCGTGATCCACATCCCGATGTAAAGCTTTAATTAAACGGAGTCCAAGTAGAGAAAGTTCACAAAATGACATTTTTGGGAACTGTGAGAACGGACCAACTAGATCCAGAAATATAAATAAAACGAGCAACTTTAATAGCAATGACCAAAACTACTTTTATGAAAATGAAGTCATTTCTTTGCAATAACCATCTCAGTGTAGAACTAAGACAAAGAATGGTTAAGTGCGAGATTTGGTCCGTACTTTGTATAGGGCAGAAGTGTGGTCGGTAAAAGTATCGATCATATATAAAATTGAAGCATTGAAAATGTGGGTTTATAGACGAATGCTGAAGATACCTTAAACGGCAAGGAAAACTAATGAAGAAGTACTAAGAAGCGTGAACAAAGATAGAGAATTGCTAAATACTGTTAAACATCGAAAAATGGCTTATCTGGGACATATAGTAAGGGAAAGTCGATATAAAATATTACAACTGATCCTTAAAGGCAAAATAGAGGGCCGCAAAGGTGTAGGAAGACAACAAGTTTCTTGGTTAAAAAACATTCGTGAATGGACTCAGATATCAAATCTTCTTCTTCTTCATGTGCCATCTCCGCTAAGAAGGTTGGCAACCATCATGACAATTCGCACTTTCGCGGTACTCATAAGGTGATGATGATCCTGCCCCTTCCCCGAAGAGACAGGAGCCTAAAACGGGGTTTTTACTAGCAGAGAGAACATACGGAACAGTCATTCGCACTTTCGATACCACTGGTCTAAAGAGGTCAGCAGAAGTGCAGATAAACCAAGCTCTCAAATTGTTTAACCAGGAGATGCGTCTTTTTTCGCGACTCCTTCTATCGTGTATTCTTCCTTGCATAATTAATTGCAACAAGTTATAACGATCGCCCCTCATGACATGAAAACCTCTATCTTTTCCCATTCTTCTTAACACCTCTACATTCGTGACTCTATCCACCCAACTTATTCTTAATATCCTTTTGTAGCCCCATAACTCGAAGGCTTTTAATCTGCCCGAAACATCTTACTTTAATGTCCAAGTCTCCAACCCACAAAATAATACGGAGAACACGTAGCATCTCAGAAGTCTTACCTTTAAATAAATTGAAATGTCTCTGCTGCAGAGTACTTTTTTCAGTTTGTTGAAAGAATTTCTTGCCTGTCCTATTCTTGCCTTAATCTCTTCTGTGTACTCATTATTTTCGTTAATTATGGTACCCAGATATTTATATTTTTAAACTTTTTTAATTTGTTCTCAATGTATTGTTATGTTTTCTTGGCGCTGCTGGGCTTTTGTAATTACCATAAATTGTGTCTTTTTTGTGTTTAGGAACAGTCCGTTTACCTCACGACTTCTACCACTCTGTCAACCATTTGTTGTAAATCCTCAAGACATTCGGCTAATAAAATAGTGTCGTCGGCAAACCGTATATTATTTATTGGTCGGCCATTTACTTTTATTCCCATAGTTAGTTCTTCTAGTGCTTCCTAGATTATTTCATCTGAATACAAATTGAACAAAGTAGGAGACAGGACGCAGCCCTGCCTGACGGCCCTCACAATTTGTATTTCACTTGAAAAGACGTTGTTCTCTTTTACCACAGCGATCTAATTATAATAGATAGCGCTAATGATCCTGATGTCTCTCATATGTATCATAGATATCAAATGCAGGACAATTATTTTATATTGCAGAACATCGAGATGCCTTCACAATATAGTTCTTTGGTAACCGAAACTATAGCAACCACGGTATGATAGAAATTTCACACAACAAAATACATTGGAACAGCAGTGTCGCAGAACTTGCACATAATAAACTCGGCGTGACATTTAACGTGTTAAGGACTGTTATGTGAAGCTTCTTCATTCTCAGCCATATTCTGTCACTATAAGGTGTATAAAAAAATGTATACTACTTGCATTTAATGCTCAGTAACATGCTTTTATTCTTACATTCATACTGAACTCTTTTACTCGCAACCTCCTGACCTTCATTAATCGCTTTTTATAGAATATACCGTTTAAAATTAATAAGTTCTGAAAAATCAAATCTGGTTAGTTCGTTTTCTTCACCTCATTCCGTCCAATTATCCTAAATGAATATGCAGCGACGAGCAGTTAATTTACATGAGACTCTTGAAATATTTCCCCAACATAAACCCGACAAATAAGCAAAAGCAAGATTCTACGTCGGTTCTGGTCTGGCTGGATTTCCCCATCGATTATATTCTCAACCAAGCCCGCGCATGCTTCCATTCGCGCTCTTAATATTGCAACAATTTGATAATATCAACTAATTCTTATAAACAAACTTTCACTTCTAGTTACCAGCTACAAACAAATCTTATTTTAGTCGACGTTACTATACTTGATACAGTGTTTTTGAAAGGAGGAAATCAGTTGGAAAAGCGTTCGGTTTTTTTGAATTAGCAGGTGTTTCAGAATAGGATCTCGGGTCAGTTCACTCGGGATTTTACAGTGAGCGGTAGCAAACAGCAGAAGATGACGAGTGTTGGGGATATTTTGGATTATAAGAAGAAAGATGAGGAAGATTATTATTCTATATTGGGCTGTGATTCGAATTCTACGGTGAGTAAATTTGTTTCATTCATAAAAAAAATTTAATTCTAGTTTTTTATAAAACTTTGTCGAATATCTAATTTTAAATATCACAGTAGAGTTGTTATTTGAATGAATATTATTTCCACTATATGAATATAAACCACTAATTCTTATCTTGATTTAACTTAAATTGACACCAAGTTACTGACAATTTGTTAATTTTGTTACACATAATTAACGTAGAAATTCATAAAATTAATTAGATAAGAATTAGGAAACTTTGATTACAAAAAATAAATTATTAACACCAGAATCTTCATCGCTTAGGTAATTATAGAAATTTATTAGTCCATTTTGGTTATACCACACACTCACATATCAATCATGAAAGTATTGTTATTCCAATAAAACATTGATAACAATATAGACAGTTCTGAGAAAAGTGATGATGTTAACATTATATAAAGATAGTTGTTAATTATTTTATTTATATTTTAATATTATAGTTTAGCAACAATGTTATAAGTATTTTTTGTTTCACTTGAAACTGTACGTATTTTTATTCTTCTTCTTCTTCTAATGGAACAAAAATCCTTTCTGAGTCTTGGCCAGCTTATCAATGTCCGTCCATTCTGCCCTGTCGAATACTTTCCTTGGTTTTAAGATCCCTCTCTACGTCGTATATCCTTTTTTACGGGGCCTTCCTCTTGTTCTGTTTCCTTGGGGCTTCCATGTCTGGACTACTTTTACACCTCGATTATCTGGCATTCTTTTCAGGTAACCAGGCCAGTTTAGCCTTTGTGATTTTACAAATCTAACAATATCTGCACTCTGCATTAGTTCATCCAGCTCGTGCTTCATTTTAATTTTCCACGAACCATCGCTGCATTCAAACGTACTTTACGTACACCTTTTTCTATTTTGAGCTTCTTGCTTCCAGTTTGTGGTGATGCGCTTGATATCATCCGTCCATCTAGTCGCTGGTCGTCCTCTGCTTCGATATGCATCTTGCCTTTAACCTCATTTAAGAATCTTTCTGGTCCATCTATCATCCGTTAATCTAGCAACATGTTCGGCCCAAGCCCATTTAGCATTGGCTATTTTTTCAACTGCATCTGTTCTGTTCTTCTTCTTATTTCTAGGTTTGGTACTTTATCTCTGATGGCAATACCTAATATTGATCTTTCCATAGCGCGTTGTGTAACTCTTGTTTTATCTATTGTTCTTTTTGTCAGAGTCAGTGTTTCTGCACCATATGTAAGAACCGGTAAAACGCACTGGTTAAATATCTTTCTTTTTAAACAAGCTGGGATACTAGACTTGAAAATGTTATTCAATCTATCAAAGACAGCCCATCGCTGCATTGGATTTTTCCAAATATCTTCCTTAGTATTTTGCGCTCAAATATTCTCAGTTGATTTTCATCAGTGGTTGAGAGGGTCCACGTTTCACATCCATATGTGACCACTGGTCTAATTACTGTTTTGTAGATTCTAAGCTTAGACTCACGATTCAGTAACTTATTTTTCACTAAGTTTTTGTATGTATAAAAGCACCTATTACCGCTAAGAATCCGTGCTTGTATTTCTTGACTGATGCTGTTGTTGTAATTTATTATGGAGCCTAGGTAGGAAAAAGTCGAGTGATTGTATTAATATAGCCGTTTATATCCAGTTTTCTAACAACAGCTTCTAAAATTAGATTAAAAAGTGTTATTGATAAGGCATCACCTTGTCTAACTCCATGTTCAATCTCAAAGGACGGTGTCATATCTCCATCTATTCTCACTGTAGCTTTGGACCCTTTCAGAGTAATTCGTATAAGTTTAACCAACTTATTAGGTATACCTAACATAAATTTTTGCTTTAACATGTTTTGTCGATCTACTCCATCAAACGCTTGTTTGAAATCGATATACAAGTTGTAAATATGTATGTTATATTCAACACATTTTTCATGTATTCCTCTTAACATATATATTTGGTCTATAGTTGACCTCTTTGGTCTGAAGCCACATTGGTATTCACCAATCATCTCCTCCGAAAACGATTCCAGACGGCTGTATATAATTCCTGATAATATCTTGTCTTCTTCTTTAAGTTCCATCTTCTATCGAAGGTTGGAAATCATCATGGCTATGCGGACTCTGTTGACTGCCGCTCTAAAAAGTTCTGCACTACTGCATTCAAACCATTCCCTTAAGTTCTTAAGCCAGGATATTCTTCGTCTTCCCACATTTCGCTTTCCTCGGATTTTGCCCTGCATAATAAGTTGTAATAATGCATATTTTTGCCCTCTCATCACATGTCCCAAGTACTCAAGTTTTCGTCTTTTAATAGTTAATATTATTTCCGCCTCATTTCCTATCCTTCTAGTTACTTCCATGTTTGACATTCTTTGAATCCATGATATTCGTAGGATTCTTCTGTAACACCAAAATTCAAAGGCGGCCAGCTTATTCAGATGAACTTGTTTGAGTATCCAAGCTTCCAGACCATAAAGAAGAGTAGAGAACACGTAACATCGAAGCATTCTCAGGCGTAGTTCTAACCTTATATCCCGACAACAAAGAAACTTTTTAAGTTTAATAAATGATGTACGTGCTATTTCAATACGTGTCTTAATTTCTTTGGTTTGGTCTACATCTGATGTTATCCATGTTCCTAAATATTTGTAGTTATTAACCTCCTCAATTGCAGTATCTTCAATAGTCAATTGGATATTTGCATGTGCAGATTTAGTCATGATCATGCATTTAGTTTTCTTTAAATTTATATTCAGTCAGTACTCATGACAGCGTTCATTAAGGCGTTGCATTAGGTTCTGTAAATCATTGTTGTTATCCTTAATTATTACTGTATCGTCTGCAAAACGTAAGTTATTCAAAACTTCTCCATTGATAGATATATAATATCTAGTAGACAACATTTAAAACTGTTATGCCCATATAATTTTTGCAGAATCGTTTGTCTCCCCCTTTGTACATAGGAAGTGTGATTCCTACTTTACAATCTTCTGGGATGACTTCTAGTGTCCATATGCGGTCGATAGATATGCCTCCATAGCGCATGTCCACCATTCTTTATCAGTTCTGCAATTGTTCCATCTGTGCCAGGTGCTTTGTTATTTTTTAGATGTTTTATGACGTTTATCGTTTCTTCTAATGTTGGTTGCTCAACTAGTTGTTCTGATGTGTGGTGAATTATTTCTTCATCTTCGTTTTCTTCTTTTTATGGCTTTAACAGCTCTTGAAAATGCTTCTTCCACTTTTTCATTATATCCTCTTTCTCGCTGATAATTGCTCCATTTTTGTCCTTGCAAACTGTTGATCTTGTCATGTATACTTGGGTGTATTGCTTGGTAAAATTTTCTAGTCTCTCTTCTGTTATTATAATCTGTAATTTGGTGTATTTTTCTATTCAACATTTCTCTCTTTTTCCGTCTACATATTTTCTTTGCATTATTTCTGAGTTCTTCATATGCACTTCTATTCAATTAGGAATTCTTTTGTAGACATTTCTGTCTAGCTATATTTTTACTATTTACTAGTTGATAATCTTTGTCAAACCATTCCTTGTTTCTTTTGCTTGAGGTTTCACCTAATGTTTCCTTTGTCATATTTGTAATTGCCGTTTGGATGATTCCACTCTTCTTCAATGTTGTTTTGTTCTCCTCTTTCATTTAATATTACTTTTATTTTCTGCTGGCACTCATTCTTCTTTTCAGGATTTTTAAACATATATGTGTTCTATTTTCTTTGTTTGGCTCCTTTCTCTTTTCTTAACGTTGATATTCTTTGTTTTATTATCGATATAACCAAGAAATGGTCCGAATCGCAATTTGCGCCTCTATAAGTTCTAACATCCGTTACGGAGGTTGCCCACCGCTTAGATATTAATATGTGATCAATTTGACTAAATTATTAGTACCAGGTATCATCCAGGTTCCTTTATGAATATTTTTATGAGGGAAAAACGTACTAACAACTCTTACATTGTTTGCCATTGCCAAATGTGCCACTCTTATACCGTTGTTGCTGGTATATCATGTAAATTATGCTTACCAAAGAATTCTGCATTTATTGGCTCTTTTCGTAGCTTTGCGTTCATGTCACCCAGGACTATAACTGCATCTCTCTTCTGTGCGTTTTCACATTCTACTTGTAGTTAAACATAGAATTGATCGGTTATTAGTTCATCTACTGCTTTTGTTGGGGCATCGATACTAATAATTGTAATATTATGAAATTTTCCCCTTAGACGTGTTTTGCACATTCTTTCATTAACTGGAGTGAAACCCAATACTGACCTGCGGCATTTATGATTTACCATAAAACCCACTTCAAAGTCTCCTTGTTTTTCTGCTCCACAGTAGTACATACTGTATTCTTTTTTATTTCTGCAACCATGCTCTTTAAATCTGATTTCCTTGGAGGGCTGCTATTTCTACTTTGTACATTCCAGGTCCCAGTCGCAAATAGATCATTTTATTATAATTTTTATTATAATTAATGAATATTTGATAATCCAGTTTTCTATTTTTTTATAAATATTTGTTCGTTAAGTAACTTTAAATCATAATCGAATTGTTAGTTAAAAATGGTATTTATATTTAATTTTATTATCAAAGTCATTTTTGGTGTTTACATCAGCTGGTGCTCACTATTAATATTTATTTTTAAACATATTTATAAGTAAATGGTTTTAAACCGTGTAGAAATGTTTGGCCTTGAATCAATAAACAAAATTTACCAGCAGCTATGATTCAGTTTTTATAAGGTGTTGCAAAAATGTGGTTTGGGAGCGTTTGATGTATGCAAAAATTTTTATTTTCTAAATATTTTGCCTGGTTCATGTATATTTTATATGAGGCCATTATTTACGAAACTTGCTCTTTGCTCGAAAGTAATTTTTTGGGAAATCGAAAAAAAAAGAACGGCCGAGTAGTGTTTAGCTTATAACGTAAAGAATTTTATTAATGTTGTTTAGAGTTTTTAGCAATAGAAATTAGAAGTTTCTAAACTAAAA